CAGCACAAAAAAACCATCTGCTCTTTCGCAAATGTTTCCTGTTTTGTCACACAGTTCTTCTGCTCACAGTTTTATATTTTTCCAGCGTATAACTCCACAGGATGCTTCTTTGTTTTGGCTGGCATGCAGTTATACTTCAGCTTTGAGGATGACTGACATGGCTCGACTCTGCATACCAAAAGTTCCTCCAGAGACTGAAAAACATGTGCTTCATGATCAAATCCGTCCTCTTCCCCAAGACTCCAGACGGACAGAACCAGCTGTTCTGGGTCATTCACTTGTTTTGTGAGTAATTCATTGAACTTTTTCCATGTCAGAGCCCCTTCTTTAACTCTCACTTTGTGCCCTTCACTATTCGCTCACAAGATTCAGACACATCTGTAAGGGATTAGCACAATTCTTCAGACCACGTCGCTGGAATTCATTCCCGTTCCTGACTCTTTGGGCACGGGAACGAGCCTTAAGGAATTTGAATAAATCGGAGATGAGGGAAAAGAAGGAAAAGCTGTGACTGTGCTGAAGACACGTGAGAAAGGAAGAGAAATCTTCACCGTGTATTTGAGCTAAATTTATTGTAAAACCAAAGTGTAAGCTGTTGAAGTCATTACTGAGTCAGCATACACCTATGTTACCCTGGAAAACCATTCCTGCTTCTTGAACTTTTTGTTTTACAACTTTTGTAAAACCTTAAGCTTTAGTGTTTGTTATTAGGGCTTTATGTGTCGGACTAAAACATAGTCTGCGGTGTACATTAGCATTTAGCCCTCTTTAATCTCAGTGTCCTTCAGAATTACTAAATAGCAGTGTATATTGGATTGTCAGGTTCAAAGCTGTTATTTAAAGATTTCAGAGGTTTGTTAGTGGTAATTAGTGAACAGCAGCATGTCGAAGAGCAAGGAGCACAGCAGGCGGGGCGAAGAAAACAGCCAGGAGGCCAATGGGGAGCCACACAGATCCAGAGATCAGGTAAGGAAATCTGCATGGAAACTGTTTGTCATGTGCTTCACAAATCTACCCTTGATGGAAGAGTAGCAAGCAAATAGCTATTGCTGAAGGAAAACCATAAACAGTCACATCTGCAATTCAAGGAAGTGGTTTCGATTCTGGTCTTCTTTCGTCTCCCTGCTCCAACAGCAGAGTCAAACCAGCGCATTACCTCCTCAGCCATTTGCTGCTGCAGAAGCCTGGCAATCATCCATTTATCTAAGCCAGATGTTAACATCTACTTCAGATACACAGTGAACATGTGGAAGAAGATGCTTAGGTTAGTTAATGTCAAATTAGCTCTTTCCAACCTGCATGCAAAGCCAACAAAGCCGTCACCTTGAACACCCCATCTCCACCTAAAACATGGTGGTGGCAGCATCATGCTATGTGGATGGTAGTGGATTGAACGAAATCATCTAAGAAAATCTGTTTGAGGATTAAACAGACTACAGAATAGAGGTTCACATTCGCTTTCCAGCAGGATAGAGAATTATCTAAATGTACATTTAAATCCATATTTAGATTATGGGTGTCTAATTCCAGTCCTAGAGGGTTGAAGTCCTGCCAGTCTTAAATGTGGCTCTGCTTCTACAATCCTGAACCAAATAATTAAATCAACAGAAGGGGCTCTCTGGAAATTCAGTGCACTCTGAGGTGGAAAATTAGCCGTTTGATTCAGATCCTGTTCACCATGACCAAAGCCTAGTCAAAGTCCAGAACTAAATCCAATTAAGATTGGAATTGTAAGACAAAAATTAAGGTTTTGCTTCTCGCTTCAGCTGAGCCCAGAAGACCTTGCTCAAACTTCAGTAGCTCTTTGAAAATGTATACCTTCTGCGTTTTTTTTTTGCAATGTTTTATCAATTTCAGCACATATAGGTTAAGCCCCCTTTGAAGTGAAACAGGACCACACACAGCCCTGAAACATCCGTGGCCCCTTCAGCTTCCTCTGATCTGCTTTACATGTGTTTCAAGCTTCGGTCTCAACATTCTGCTTCCTCTCTAACTCTGACCAGATTTACACTCCAGCACTTCCTCCCAGTAGCTAATTTCTCCTCTCTCCATTCACATAAAGTTCAGCTGGAGCTCTATGACAAAAGCAGACAATCTAAATACTTTCTTGTGTGCTATGAATAACAGGTATCCATTACTGCAGACAAGCTGGGGGTTGAATAACACATAGACACACATACACTGTCTGGTGGACTACGTGGCAAACTGCATGCTTTCTTCAACCAAAAAGCTGTAGGCGGAGCACTTAATCATGACGCAGCCCAGCGAACTTTACATTGTGGGGTTATTCTTCCTCCTGTTGATCCCACATCCACAAAGAAGCAGGCACAGGCCCAGTTAATAACATATTCATAACAATAATAACAGTAAACGGCTAGTATAATTAATTCTGCTAAACATAAAAACTCTGAGTCTATGTTTAAATTCAGATTATCCATAATTAATTGTGGTTGGTATTCTGGAGTTATTTGCCTCTTGGGCAAAAAAAAAAAATAAATAAATAATAATAATAATAATTGGCTTTTGTTCTACATATTAATTAGACACAAATTGACTTTAGAGACTATCTGGATAAAATTCAGATTTGTCTTTTTCGGCTTTTAGAATCCATAAACTCTTTAGGAATCAAATACCTTACAATCCCATCAAAACCTAGACTATGAACACACGTATCGCAATTTTTAAAACAGATTTTCATGTCAAAATCAGATTAGCTTCTTGTTCAATAACACCCATTACTCCCAGGGAGAAAGACTTTGCCTTCACCTCTCTCTTGTGTAACTTTTGCATGTTTAAGCCCATGTCCACCTCTGTTTATACTGAACACACGACTGTCTTCTTCTCTTTGCAAACACATGCAGTCCAGGCAGTCTGGAAAATTAAAATTCACCCAGTTGCCAAATCTGGCTTCTAAAGAAATTGGTCAGCTGAAGACAAAAGAAAGCATCACATTAGGTAATTTTTTTCTTCAGCTTATAAATAAAAGCGAGCATTTTGAAGCAATGCAAGCCTATTTTTCCATTTATTAATCTTTTCTTTTCTATTATATAATGTAGGTTGAAGGATTCATTGTGTAACTGAAGTTTTTGAACATCAGTGAGGAGTTCAGTGATATTTTAAAATGTGGCAGAGGAACATTGGCTCCCTCTGTTGGTCACACTCTGATAACTTTGACTCCCACTTGAAAATAATTTCTTGCTGCAAATTAAAGCACCGGACCAATCAGAACGAATGAAATCGAAAAAGAGAAGATTATCCTATAAAGTATAACATATAAATAAAAAGAGTACTTCAGCTGAAGTATAAAGTAATGACATTATTTCTTCTCTTTTTTTAACTTTGGTTCAAATAGTCACAATTTAAATTTGTATACTTTACCTTGTATTGGTACTGTGTGTCAAACATATATTTTAAATTTTTCACTTTAATATTTTTTAATACAATAATTTCACATTGACAAAAGAGCTGTATTTCTGAGGGAGAATGCAATTCAATATAAGACTACAGAATTGCAGTAAAACAAAAAAAATATTAGCAGACAAAGCATAAAATATAACATTTTTAAGCTACCATGATTTGTATAGCATAGTCATAACTTAATACTGGTTAATCCAGTCAAAACTGACTCAGTGCTGATTTTTGTTTTAATGGACTATAAGCTATAACAGAGTTAAACAGATTCATTCAATAAAAACCCATGCTTATTTAGCTAAAACAAACAAAAATGTCTTATTTTTACAGTAAATGAGGATACAGTTGTATGGTGTGTCTTTGGTGAACCGATGTGAACAGAGGCTGGAGGACCTTTGGGGCTGTGTGCCTGCACTGGATCACAGGGGAAATAAAAAAATGTGTCAGAAAGTTGAAAAAATGAAATGAGCAAAGTATTGTTTGCACATAATAATCAAAATTCCTATCGCCTCATAAAGTAACTAAATCTGAGCTGGGAAAAAATATACAAACTACTACAGAATCAACCACCTCATTGCTTAAAGGTTCTTCCACAGGATCCTGGAGGTCGACAAGGTCCAAGGGGTCATGGAGATCCTGTGAGTCCTGATTGTTCAGTTCATCTGTCTCAGCTGGTTTCTGTTTATGAAAAGGAAATAAATATCAAACATCTTTGGGTCTTAAACTATCCCAGCATTCTTTTGACAAAAAAATTAAATGATTTCAGCAATAAAGGTTACACTGACCTCTCCATCTTACAATCCTTAGTCATGGGTTAAAAATCCAATGAGCGTGGCAACCTTTATTAGCCCCAAACTGAGTAACTTTTTTATGTAATTTAGTGTGAAATTAAGCTGTTGCAATAAAAGATGGAATATATTTTGATGTTTTCTCTACATGTTTTCAAAAAAATGTCCATTAATGTGCAAGGCAGTCAACTTTTAACATTTTCAGCTCCTTCGACTTTTAAAAATATAAGTTTTTACTTTAAAAATAAATTATCATTAAAAAAAAACTCATACAAAACAGTGATCGCTCAATTGCTTTATTGAATGCAATATTCAACATTAAATGTAAAACAACAAAGTTGCAGTAAAACAAAAATATGATCAGATAAATCATAACACAATACTCGAAGGTAAAATATTTAATGCAAAACATGTTCATAAATTAATATTGGTTGATCCCATCAAAATTATCCTAATGTTGATTTTCTTTTTTGTAAAATAGACGCAGTTGTAACAGAGTCAAACACATTTGTTCAATTAAAACCCATTGGTATGAAGCCTAAAACTAACAAAATGCCTTACTATTACAATAAAGAGTAAAATGAGGATACAGTGGTATGGTGTGTTTTTATCTAGTCATCTGCTACTGCGAATGACTGTCGTAAACAAATTTAAAAGCCCACAAGTCACTGGTGTTTTCTAATGGGAGGTTCATCCTGGAAAGAAAGTGTTTCTGTCCCATAGAGAAGAACAAATGTCCTGAGACGAAGACGTTGACGGCCAGCTTGACAATTTCCTTTGTAATCCCAGCTTTCTGCTCCGATGGAAGAAGTGCAGAGTGAATGACTGAGGAATATAAACAGGTGTGTCTGAGTTCTGTGTTGGCTTGTTTTGTTTCTTTATGATGGAAACAAATGAGTCTCTCTGGGTATAGGCCGTCATCCCAGAACTGATGTTTGAATATTGGTGATCCTAGAGGGCATCTGGCGCTGAATGGTCTTACTGGATCTGAGGAGAAACATACATTTTGTCAAAATGCTGAGAAGATGAAATGAGTAGAGTATTGCTTGCACATAATAATCAAAATTCATAAAGCAACCAAATCTGAGTTATGATAAAAAAATATATATATAAATGAACTGCTGTCTTTATGAATTTATTATTCAGAATCAACTACCTCATTGGTCTCAAGTTCCAGTGGATCTTGTGGATCCACAGGGTCCAGAGGATCCTGAAGGTCGGAAGGGTCCACAGGATCTACGGGATCCTGGAGATCCAGTGGGTCCTGCGGGTCCAGATTGTTCAGTTCATCTGTCTGGGTTGGGTTCTGTTTGTCAACAAGAAATAAACACCACACTAAGTGTTTGGATTTCAAAAGATCACATTATTCCTTTGACAATATGCAACATTATTTCAGTAATAAAGGTGAGACTGACCTCTCCGTCACTGGACCTCAAACAATCCTCAGGAAATCCTGAATCATCAAACATAATAA